CCTGCAGACTGGATGGAGGACAGGCTGTTGGAGCTGAGCTGGAGGGTGGGGATTTTAGGGCAAGGCAGCACTTTTAAACGTGGGGAGGTGAGTAATAACAAGGAATCGGTTAGCTGTCTTCTGGAATGCACATCGACTGGATTAAATATGTGCTCAGGATTGATTAGGTATACGTCCTCAGCATCACACCGTACAGTATCTTCTTCACATATTCTATCACAGTTGTAGTTCCACTGCTCTTCGTTTCTTGTATTGTTTTTTTTTCTTTTAACCTTGAAACTCCCTGTGATTATCACGTCAGCTGGACATGTGTGGAGATGTGGAACCTGATGGCTACAATGTAATGATGTGTTATATTTGCTGAGCTGCATACACGCAGAAATCTGTTATCATTTTAGGCATATTCAAGAATATATTCATATTCAGAAGACCACGTGATAGTTACAGTATTGCCACAAAAAGAAAACCACCCTGTTTGTCACTGTTTGTCTCACAGGCATTGACTTGGGTTTGAGTTCAAATACAGCAGTTTGAACGGAAGATCTGTAATCTATACATCTAGGATGCATTGGAGATTGGGAGTTCATTATATTTAATATTTGGCCCTTGAGGTGATTTCATTTTTTTAAAACAATTATCAAAATATTTTTTAAAATATTTTCTTTTTTTTTTGAGAGTCATGTAAATATATTTTCCTTATTTGAGTTAAATATAAGCATTTCTTAATTTTACAAAATTCTATGTAAAAAGTGACCATCAAATCTGACACACTAAATGTCAAGTAGTGGGAATGTCATTTTAATAATGCAGTGTTCGAGAAGAGCCAAATTAAGGTTGGTAGAACAACTTTTAAAATGGACTGAATACATACATCTAATAACAGTGTAAATACACCATTGTCAAAGCTAGTTGTTTTTTTTATTTGTTTGTTTTTAACTTTTGTGTCTCTATGAACAGTGAATCTAAAACCAACTATATTTCATTTTTTTGTTCATACAGTTTTGAAAATCATAGCACACGGTCGTTTTACCCATGTTTTTTTTCACAGCCCCTAGTATTTTGCCAAATATCTGTAGTTATTTGATTAAGACCTCCTAAAAGAGTCAGTTTGAAGTTTATGGTGCAGGAAATTCTTTATACCTGCATAGATAAGTGCTGTAAATCTGCTTTGAGGCCAACTACTGTATGCTTTTTTTTGACATATGTTTCTTTGCCCACAAGCAATTCTCTTCCTTAAATGATCCCCATATGTGTGGCAGCGTTACTGGCTCCTGCCGAACCATCTACACACTCCATCAGAGACTGTGTCCAAAAACCGAAGCAAAGATGCCAGTTGGTGGAAGAACTGTCTGCCCACATGAGCTTGTAAAGTTAGATTGTGAAGCAATAAATAAATAAATAAAAAGATCGCAAATTAACAATTAGAAAAGAGTCCTGGGAATTACAGCATGTGGGTCAGATCCCAGCACCATTAAATGGCTGCTTATTTATGCTGAAGTGCTGGATACACAGAAATTCTTCAAAAAGTAATGTATTAATAAATAAACACGGTGTTTAAAGTCAAATGTCACTTTGAGACAATATTTCACTGAAAACATGTCAATTATTAAGATTTATACTAGTCATAGAAATTGAAGAATTATGTCCATACAAGAAAAGTCAAATATCTGCACATCACAACCCACGGTGGTTCCAACCATTTCTAAGCCATCTGGTCTCTTATTACTTATTCATTCTCAATACAAAATGAGGAGCGTATAAAAAAAAATAGTAGATGTGTACAAATGCCAATGTAGAATGACTTGTATGTATTATTAATAGAATGATGGCCTGTTTAGCCTGTTAGCAGACAGGGCAGTATTCTACATTGAAACCA